CACACTATTTCTTCAATGCAAAGTCAGGAGCTAATTATAATATAAGAACCAATAAACGTGTTCTCAGAATGTCAGGAAAACTTTCCTAAAAAACGTTATTAGAACGTTACTGAATAATGTTCTGCTAACCTAAAAGAAACATTCCCATAACATTCAAGGAACATAACTTTGTTAGCTGGGTACTGACGTAGGAGAGACGCGAGCTTAAATATAGTAAATTAGGTAATTAGATATAGCGTGAGGCAGGTAGCGTGAGAGCTATATCGGCAGAAAGCCGACCTTCATAGTAGCTAGCTAAACTAAAGTGGCAGAAACTAAAGTGCAGGGAGAAGATTCAGGAATAAAGCATTAATGCTTTATTCCTGAATCTTCTCCCTGCACTTTAGTTTCTGCCACTTTAGTTTAGCTAGCTACTATGAAGGTCGGCTTTCTGCCGATATAGCTCTCACGCTACCTGCCTCACGCTATATCTAATTACCTAATTTACTATATTTAAGCTCGCGTCTCTCCTACGTCAGTACCCAGCTAACAAAGTTATGTTCCTTGAATGTTATGGGAATGTTTCTTTTAGGTTAGCAGAACATTATTCAGTAACGTTCTAATAACGTTTTTTAGGAAAGTTTTCCTGACATTCTGAGAACGTTTTTACCAACATTCACATAACATTGATCCCTATATTGCGCTGGAGAGGAAATCCGAAAGAAACTACGGGTACTTCACGCTTTCGTGTATATATTACGCGCGCACATATTGTATGTGCCGAGGCGAGCGCAGCACTGATGCTACGCGGCGCCCCCTGGCGTGAGATTCTAGTACCTACCTGCCCGCCTCGTCCGGAACAATGATACCGTTAGAACTGGGCGAAGTCGTGCTGCCCACCCAGAAATACGCATCTGCAACAACGAGACGAAGATGACGCGTGACAAGTAAAAGAAATCGCGTGACAAGTAAAAGAAGGCGCGTGACAAGTAAAAGAAGGCGCGTGACAAGTAAAAGAAGGCGCGTGACAAGTAAAAGATGGCGCGTGAGAAGTAGAGAAGAAGGCGCGTGAGAAGTAGAGAAGAAGGCGAGGCAAGTGAAGAAGGAACGCGAACAAAAAAAGGAACGTATCAGAGCGAGCGTGGCGCAGAGGCGGTAGAGCCGGAGAGAAAGCATCAGGGAGAAACGATTTGCGGTTGCGTTTATCCCCGGGTTGTCTCTAGCCCCAGCAGTTACGTGATATCGCCTGTCTTCAAGAGAAGGTATAGCGGAGGGAGACGAGGAATTATGCGGCGGAACAAACAGAGTTATCTAGAACCGCCTACATGTGCCGCTAGAAGCATGGCGAGTCTCATACTAGAGCAGTCGGGGGGGGGAGACGGTGGAAAAGGTCCAAGGAAACATATCGAGTGTGAAATCTCGCGAGATCTCTCGCAACACGCATAGTTTTGACGTCTTACTCGTGACAGAGATGAACACCACGTTCCAGAGATGAATTCTCCCGACAGGGTGCGCAGAAGAGAAAACAACAACAAGAGAACATCTGGCCGCGAGGTAAGCGTTCCGGCAAAGTATCGTATCGATATTTTTTTTTAACGCGCAAGTGCCATCGTAGAGCCAAGTATCGCTTCGAGAGAGAACATGACGCAGCGTTTTAATCTTCTTCATAATTGTTGTCGTTGCACGCTTGACAACGAGCGCAAACTGCCGATCAGCGCTCGAGGTTGCTACGCGCTATCGCACCGCGTCGCACCGACGTTATCTCGATCCGGTATTGATTCGAACGAATGGACACGATTCGGAAACACACCACCGGATGTATTGGTTGAATGAATTGCACGAAAGAAGGAAATAATTCACTTCTGTATGGTGTGTACGATATAGTACTGTATTTATTCGATAACTTCTGTGTCGATAGCTGTGAATTTCGATACACGAATCAAACTGTCGGTTAACGCTTGCTGACTACATAAAGACGAATCCCAATGAATGAATGAATCTTTTCCCGCGCTGTCTCTCGCGCCGTCTTCCGGATAAATTTAACGGTGGCGAAAACGATATCAGCAAAAATGCGAAATCCTTCAGAATATGTATGGATGCGGATTTCTCTTCACAGCGCTACACTGCTATACCTGGTGCGCTTCCGTCATACTTGAATCCGGTGACGAGCAGTGTGGTCGCGTCAAGGGCGTACACGTGTCCCGCCACCTCGTGGTCGAATGTATGAAGATTTCTAAGGTCTTTGCCCATGTAGGCCGACGATGCTGGTGCCGGACGCCCTACGGATGCGGATGCAAATCGTGATGTTATGATATCGTGACGGATTATTTATGATCCCCCATGATAGTCGTGATACATTGATAGCGTAGAGATATTATTCATAGCACATCGTAGCGGAAATTATTCATAATTTGCTGTGATGGTTACAAGACATGGTCATTGAGAGTTGCATTATTTATATATATATATATTTATAATACATTACTAACGATACACAGCTAAACACATACACACACACACACACACACACACACACACACACACACACACACACACACACACGCACGCTACGCACGCACGCACGCACACGAACACACACAACACACACACACACACACACACACACACACACACACACACACACACACACACACACACACACACACCGCACATCCATGACGCTTCTATGCGTCACTAACAGCTCAGTAAGGCGTTTTATAACCAGAATGTACGTAAGTGTTGTGTAATGCGACCGGAGCAGGTGTAAGCCTCAGCTCTGTCTGTCTGATGGGTAAGCCTAGCGGGGAGTGGTACAGTGAAGCGGCCATCCTCCCACCAGGCTAGGCAAATCCTCTTATCCAGCCCGTTGAGTACATGTCTGGATCAAGGCTTCAGGGCAATTTAAGTCAGTCATCGATTTCCACTGCTGCGCACAGGTAATGTGCCGGCAATTCATGAATACAAACTCAATATATATATATATATATATGCGATATTGATTTGGCATTTCTAGATTACGGGCGCATTTCCTGCCATTCTTACGTAATTTCTGCTTATATATATATATGCGCATACAGTAATACTCGCCGCGGGTGTATTTTTCGAACGGATACGCTTTGAAACGTTTGCCGGTAACACGTATACCGGCGGGTGTGCCGCGTTTACCTACTGCCTGCCCGTGTTTGCGCTTCTATAGTTCCCTAAATCGACCCACTGGTTGCAGCAGAGAGCAACGACCGAGCGTGCCTGTTAGTACCAGTTAGCATCATCACGCGCACCTGTAGCGCATGCGCTACGGTTTACATAGCATTATGTTCCATGAAACAATACTATGTGTGTGAGTGTGAGTGTGTGTGTGTGTGGGGGGGGTATGTGTGTGTGTGTGTGTGTGTGCGTGCGTGTGTGTATACATGTGTATAATTAGCTCCATCCAAAATTAGCTCCATCCAAGTTCCCTTTTCTGCCGCTCTCTTTCTTTCGCTTTCGCACTTTCCTTTTCTATCTCTATCTCTTTCTCTCTCGCGCTCTCACTTCTCTCTCGCGCTCTCTCTCTCTCTATCACGCCCAGTCTACCACTATATCTCCCTCTCTCTTCTTTCTCTCTGTGTGCGTCCGTGTGTTCCAGGCATGTTGTTTGTCACATTGCAGCACGGTAATAACCACAATGTCACAAACCTGATATTACCAACATGTTCTGCTTGCATCTATGCCAAATACGAACAGACGCATATACGCTCTCCTGTGACACTATTTGTGGGTCAACTTCGTTCCGCTTTACAGCTGAATTAAATTCACTGCTTGCGTTCATAATAGCGCTCCTAAACTCCTATGATGCGCACAACACATACAACGTGAATCTTCCTATGACAAATAGTGTCATAGGAGAACGTATATGCGTACGTATGTCGTATTTGTCAAAGATGCTAGTAGCAGAACAGTCTGATATTACGCACAGCGTAAAATATCGTCATAGTAAAGCGAATTCAGAACAAAACTATTCCACGGCATTACGCCACACACGCAATTAAAAACAGCACACGCTCGCAAGCACGCGTGTGCATATGCTCGCCTGGAGCTAATTCGAATTCTAAGTGCGCGTTCTGAGAAGAAATCTAATTAGCAACGTGATAATTAGCAACGTGATAATAAGTCTTACCGAATGCCGCGCAAATCAGAAGTAATGCCGTTAGACATGCCGCCATGTTGACTCCAGGAACCACTTGTACTTGCGCGAACACGCAAACTGTCGACTGCGAGCAACAGAAAGTGAACGAAAGAAACAGGAAAAGAGGAACACCAGCGACGTCTTGAGAGAAACGTTAGCCGGAGCTAGGCATAAAACGCTGACTGCCACGCCACGCAGGTAAAACCTGTTCTCTTCAACACGGGAACCGACGCCGCGTCGTCGAAGCGAAATTGGTCACGCCTCCCGTCGGAGCTGCGCATGCGCGAACCGGTTCCGCCACTGAAGGTCTCAGCTATTGATATCTCTAGTATAATATGCTATCTATATATTACCGTGAGCCAGCAACATCAAATACGAAAAGCATCTATCGCTGCGATACTGCATGTCCGTGCAAACGCAACGTAATTTACTACCCCCCCAACACATACATACACACACACACACACACACACACACACAAACGAAGTCCCCGCACCTATATGAAAGATGTGTATTTAGCCACATTTCAGCGAAACCGAGGATTTGAACCGGTGGAGAAACGTAAATAAATTATTCAACGAAGAACAGGTGGCACGTGTTCATCTAACATAATAAAGAAAAATCGTGATGGTGGGAGGGAGTCTACATGCAATTTAACATTATTACAGGCACGATAATGGGCTTGTCTTATTTTGAAGTTTTACTTAATTAGCTAGCAAAAATTCCAAGAGTTCTATTCGTGATACGAAAGTAACGACCAATTGTCAGGCGACTCAGGAGTCTATATGATAAGTATTGGTAAATGCTATTAAAGCAGGGTCGCAAGCTAAACAAATCCAGTGGGTATAAAATTTCCATGCTTTGAGTAATGACTAGATGAAGGCGCAGCTACGAGACAGCGTGCATAGCGTGGCGTGGGTTGCGTAGGATGAGGCGTTCGCCGATGACTAGACGATTATTAACAGGGTTAATATATAAGAGTATTAATATAAATAAAAGTATAACAGTATATACAGGGTATAACAGGGTATCAATATAATGGTTATGGTAAGGCAAGGAAAGTATGGTATGGTAAGGCAAGTATTATAGGCTTTATTAAAGCAAGTAGTTTCAAGGCAAGTAAGTTATTATAGGCTTTAATTCTTCCGTTCGCCAAATTATACGAGTGTTCCTGACCCCTCGCCCTAAGAAGCTACGGATCTTGCATATAGCATCATGCATTGGATGTACGCTCCGCAAATTAAAAGTATCTTTTCATGAAAATACTATCTTTCATTTGAAAAAGGCTGGATATATACAGCTGAATAATTATGCTATTTAGGACGCGCACCGCCATCTGTTGGCCAATTTGAATCATAATGGCAGTTAACCGGCGCTCAACACTGCGCTCTTTTATTGCGCTTATACAAGCGATATTATACCAGGAGCTAATAATAACAAATTTGTTATTATTAGCTCCTGATTATACTTAGATACATGCTCTTGCATTACCCAGCTACTGCCCCTATTCCAACTATACTTGCCATCCCTACTCACAAGTGAAGATGGACATTCTTGAGAAGTACAGTGTATCACATAAGTGATTCTTCACTTCTTCGCTCAACTTCTTGAATAAAATTCGTTGAATCTCTTTCATAGATAGCAGATATATTGTTTTTATAATAATCTCTATACCCTAGTAGAGTGCATAATAGGCTGCAGATCTGGATTTTATTTTGCTGTTATGATTGTCTCGCTGCACCACAGAAGAATATTTGTTCGCGTTTATGAACTATAGGTGGCAGCACTTAGCAGTGAGTAACTAATAAACTGTCAGTGCAATCAGATCATAATTATCAACTCATAAAATCAAATGATTTATTATATACCATATCCGCCCTGCCAGGAACAAAAATTAATGTATTGCTTGTGAAATGTTTACGAATTTTTTACATTATGTCAGATCTGATTTGCAGCCATATAACCAAGAGCGTATAAAGAAGTAGAGCGTACAACGGTGAAAATTATTGATCAGCTGCTCTACCTTGTTAATATAAAACAAACCGCTTGTCTCTACGATGCTCCTACGCTGAGATAATGAGCGGTGAAAATCTAGTATTTTCGCCGAAAACCGACTATCGACTTTTCGCCGATATAACGGATATTCACGGAGAGATAATAATAATATTATTTTATCCACTTAAGTCTGTGACGTAAATTCCTGTAATGAAATAATAAGGCGATACAGTAAAAACCCGCGTATAAGAACATAGATTTTAAGAACCTGTTAGGCTAAAATTTCCCATTTAGACCCCTTTACATAAGAACCTGTTTTAGGCTAAGATTTTAAAGTAGGTTCTTAATTTTCCATGCAGATGAAGACTTAAAAAGAAACACAGGTAAAATAAAAAAGACGAGCTCAACAATACCGATGAATGTGCCAGCACTTTTTTTTGGCACGCATCTTTTTGCATATTGTTTTGTTTCCTTGGATACATACTGTATCATACAGTATGGTAAGCACTGAAAAACTTACACTGCTCATGGCCAGCTGGTTTGTATTGCAGTGAGACCAGAGCTGTGGAAGGTGATATCTATTGTATTTATTATTACAATGTAATCTTACCATGCCCCCGACCCTTTAGGGAAAGGCTCAATATATGCGTTGTTTTCATGACTTCATAAAACTCTTTAGGTTTTATTGACTTGTCAAATGTTGTGATCACTATTAGGTGACGATTCAATCGGTTTCTTTATATTCGATGAATTTTATGCTATCCTGCTAAAAGCTGTATTCGCACAAAGTTGTGAGGGCTAACACAATTCACTGGGCATAAAAAGCTCAAAGGTTTTGTAAACTATTAGGCTATAAAACCATTAACTTTACTTTGTACGACCACACACTCTATACCACTGATGCAGCTTGCAACGAGCCGACGCCGCCGCACACAGAACCCGGCAAAATCGCTTACCCTACTCAAAAAAAAAATTTTTTCATCGTGCAGTATTTTATCGTTTATTCTTTGAGGGGGAGGGGTTCTTTATGCTCCTCTCAGCTAGTGCACGGCTTACCCCGCCAAGTTTTAAGCAATACGGCTAGGTCCGCCCACGGACATGCAAAAATGATGAAAGAACAACGGACATGTCCTACTATTGCGTTGAAATAATTACAAATAAGTGGTTTAGGGGAGACATTGAAGCATCTACTGTTAATACTTAGACGCTTTAATACTGTTACGAAAGTGAGAAAGATCGTTCATGGATTTTTGCTGTTACGGAACTGTTAGAAATATTTACTTACTGTTGGGAATGCGTTACATGTCTTCAAAAATATATGGTCTAAGTACGCGAGATTGAACTCGGTCTGCAGTAAAGCCATTAGCACAAAGTAACATTAATTTCTTAGTTGCATTTGCTTTATGTGTTAATGGTATAGAGTTGTTGTGCACAACAAACGTTTTTCTAATGTGATTTACGTAAATATTTGTACAAGTATTTTACAGTACTGTTTAACAGATACTGCATGGAATCTGGCAATCTAACTTGTTTTAAGTGAACACGATTTATATCGGGTTAGATTCTACTGCAATAACTGGCGTAATAAAGAAGTTAGCCTGCATTACTTGGTTACTGGGAATAACGACACACAATTTACTTTACTAGGCATCTCAGCTTGTTGTATGTTGGTCATTGTCCATGGTAGCGCTTATTTAAGCCTACATCATTATTTAGCGCTGTACACGGGCCATTGTATCCCACGTGACTAAATGTAAGCAGGTATCTCCAGGGATGTAAGTGTTTATAGGCGTCTCTAATGGAAG